CACCTTTTCTCCTGTCACAAACTCTTTTGAAATCTTAAAATTCACCATTACAAGTATTTTCTAATAGAACTCCATATAAACATATCTGAAAAACTTAAACATTTCAGATAATTTAAAAATACCAGGATGTTGTTATATGGCGTTCTCTGATTAGTTCTGGGGAAACTAGGCCCACCCTTACCCTCCCACCCCCAAAACCTGTTTTTAAAGTACTGCCTGAAGTATATGATCTAGCAACTCCTTTCTACAAATTTATCCTGAAAAGATTATCATGTGCAAAAAATTTACCTATAAAGATATTCATGGTGAAATTACTTAGAAGAAATTAGAAAGGAACCAAAATAACTAAGATTTTCTTGGGAATTCATTAAGAAAATTATAGCATCTTCAAAAATGGATTGATATACAGATACCAGAAATCTTTATATAGATACTAAAAACCTTATTGTAGAAAAAAAGTTCTTTATATATTGTTTTCTTAAAAGCAGGTTACACAATTATATGTAGAATATGTTAGAGTTTTTGTTTCAAAATTAAGTGATGGCCAACAATATATGCAAAAATAATAGTGAAATAATGGGTGACTTTTTATTTTCTTTGTATTTTTCTGCAGTGTTGCATATTACTCATTAACTGTGTGATTTAGGCAAGTTAAACAATCTCTCCATGTTGTAATTCCCTTATCTGTAAAATGAGAGTAAAAATAGCCCCCTAACTCATAAGCGTTGTTTTGAAAAAAGTTCTAGTGCTATGCCTGGTAAAGAATAAGTTCTCAATAAATGATAGCTATGACATTATTATTACACTTACAATCAGAAAAAAAATGATGACTTTTAAAAACTAAATCTGCCAAGAAACTTCCAGAAGCTGGATTTGTTATACCAATAAGCATGTGAGTTCAAAAGATATGAATGGCCTGAGGCACCAACCTGGTAGCCATGGTATGAGATGTATACTGCCTGCTTTCCAAGCCCAGGAGCCAGCCTAAAGGGTGAGGAAGCCACCCTTTCCCAGCCTGGGCTGCCAAGACCCTTGAGCTCAGGAGGATTAGGCCAGGGCACACACACTTGTAAGAGACCGCAGCCGGCACATCGCTTTCCCCTACTTGACACACTCCCAGCACTCCCTACCTTCCCTTACTTCTTCTTAGGCAGGAAAGGAATAGAGCGTTTTCCAGTTAAGTTGCCACGGACTGATATAGCCTGATGTATGGTTCTCCAAGGGTCAAGCAGTGGTGGGCTGGTAAATGTCTAAAGCTGGGAAGTGGAGATGAGATGAAATGACTACTTTGTAGGTTTGGTGATTTCCGTGGTATGAATATCTCACCAGGGATATTACCAAGCTACCAATGTGAAATCAGCTGGCTTATAAAATGCTTGAAATTTAGCAGTCAGCTTTCATAAGCCAGTACTAGTTGGCTGAAGCACACCACCGGGTGTTTATATTTCAATGAGGAGCAAAACCTTGAAGCTAAAAGAACGATTCTGCACCATAATTACTGGCAACTGAATTGAAGGTCAAAGAACCATTCTCAGTATCTTTCACAAATGAGGCACCACTTACGATGTATGTAGATGCATAAGACAGCCTATGTTTCAGCAGACTCTGGAGACTGGTTACCCAAGGTGTGAGTCTAGGAGAAGCAATGTCACCATCCCCTGAAAGCCCATTAGAAATGCAGACTCTCAGGCCCTACCCCACACCTGCTGAATTAAAATCTTAATTTAAACAAGATCTGTGATCTGTATGCACACATACAGTTTGAAAAGCACAGCTGTATAACTCAACATAAGAGAAATAGAGAGATAACATTTTAATTAAAGAAAGCCCCCAACTGTGACAGTCAGGTGCTCTTTGTTATTTGGAAGGTCATTTGGATGTAGGGAGTAAATAATTCTTACCTTCCACAGTCCTCTAGAAATGGTTTAACATTCGCACATTTTCCATCTCAACAATGGGGCATGGAACAGTGACAAGTCACTCCATCTCCATTCCCTCCCCCAGCCACCAAGCCACAAAGCCTGAGCTCTGAGATTCTTCGTGAGGTAGAGAAATATAGATTCCTCAAGCACTGCTATTCAAGCCAAAAGCAGCATGTGCCAATGTTCCACCCACAATCCTGGTTCAGTCTCCATTAAGCTGCACATCTGGCTGTCACACACTCTTTTGTGGGGACATCTCAATGGCAGCACTGATGCCACCTCTCCCCAGGGCTAGCCCCACAGTGGCCTCCCTGTCCTCCCGGCCTGTGATGTCATGAGCATGAATGTCCTGCCAAACATTTAAGATGTTGTGGTTCACATTGTGTACATTGTATAGAGAAACACTGACATGCAGATTTTATTTAATTTTAAAAAAGGGCGAGATACAACCAAACCTTGTTTTATTGTTACCCCAAATCACCAATCCAGCACAAATATGTAACTTGTATTCCTTAAGGACACACTCTTCTTTTTTTGTTACTGTCATTGTAACTAACATTCCTAGATTCAGAGAACTCCCTTGAAGCATTCTTTCCCCTACTTTGGTTTCTAGCAAATTCTTGTAAGCATGAGTAGGACTGGTTCATTTTCAGACCACAAATGCCCTGCATGTGGTCTCTTCTGAAAGGTTAAAAAGGGTGAATGAAGTTGTAACTATCAAAATCATCACACCTGCAATGACCATCAAAGAGGAGAGGAGGAAGCAAATTAGCTACACTACAGAGAAGCACGAGAAAGGATACTTTCTGTTCACTGTTTCTCAAAATGCAGTGTGGGGACCCCCTCGTCAGAATCACTGGGAGTACACAATAAAAATGCACATTTTTGGTTGGCAACCCAAATCTTTGGGAGTAAAGAGATTGAATCTCCAATTTGCCTGATTCCCTAGCAATGATCCTTAAATTGGAGAATTCAGGCTTTAGAGTTAGATAGACTTAAATCTTTTCTAGTTCAATATAGTGGCTATATGACAATGACATCCTAAACTCCCTGCATCCTATTTTTCTTATCTATAAAATGGGGACTGGTGGAGGGGATTAAATGCGTGCAGTTCCTGACATAAAGAGCTCTCAACAGCATTAATTCCCTTTTCCTTGTGACTTTGGTGGTGCATGTTAGGTCGGCCATTTTATGTGTGATTGGGAGTCATTGTCTTCACCTGGATAAAGATTGGTAGTTTAATCAATTGTAATTGCTAAGTTCTGATGGAACTCTGAGAGCAGATAACATAATCGACTCTTGGTTACTGAGACAGAAACTGCAGTCCCACAGTTGTGTTAACCAACCCAAAAGCCTCCAGTCACATGTGGCTGTGATGCACTTGAAATATGGCTAGTGGAAACCGAGATGTGCTGTGAGTGCAAAATACACAGTGGAATCAGAAGACTTAACACAAAAAGAACAGGAGCTATTGCATTGATTGAAGTAATAATATTTTGTATGTGCTGGATCCAATACTATCTATTAAAGTTAAAATTAAATCAATATAAGTCACTTGTTTATTTTAGCTTTTCTGAGATTTTCTATTTTTTTTGAGTTGGAGTCTCACTCTGTCGCCCAGACTGGAGTGCAGTGACACAACTCCCGGCCACCGCAGACTCGACCTGCTGGGCTCTGGCGATCCTTCTGCCTCAGCCTTCCAAGTAGCTGGAACTACAGGTGGGCGCTGCCACGCCCGGCTAATTTTTTTGATTTATTGTAGAGATGAGGGCTCGCCAAGTTGCCCAGGCGGGTCTCGAACCCAAGGGCTCAGGCAATCCACACATCTCAGCCTCCCAAGGCGCAGAATTACAGGTTGAGCCACCGAGCCCGACTGAGATTTTCCATTATGGGTGTGACTTGCATCACGTTCCCCCTGGCCAGTGCTGTTCTAGAGCGGCATCTCCTCCTCAAACTGATGAAAAATCTCAATGTCAGAGTCATGGCTTATAGAAAGGGATTCCCTAACTAGTCAGGCAACAGTAAGCTGCAAGGAAAAGTGGGGCTCATGCAGTGCACCCCTCATGAGAGAACGCAGGCAGCATCCTCAGGGAAGGAGCTGGCAAGCAAATGCGTCCATAGGGGAAGAGAACTGCTTGATGAGGATTCTGATTCAAGCTGGTGATTGTGAAGAAGGGGAACCTGAGACCTCAAGTTTTGCTTTCTCACTGCCCCAAATGCTTTACACTCCATTCATGTTCATGATTCTTACACTCTGACGAGTTTTAGTGAGGTAGGGAGGGTCCTCCAATATAGTCACATGGGATGTATCCTTAGAAAAACTTTATTATATTATAGCTAAGCAAATGCTTTAGTTCACAGAAAGATTGTCTTTTCTGTATGAGTAATTTAAAAATAATTTCCACCAGGTTACAAGCTAATGTACAGCAACTTCTGCAAAACGATCAGCCCAAAAGTATATTTCCAAAGAGGAAATGTTTGCCAATTATACTGTAAGCTAATACAATGAGCATTTCATTTGGAAAAAGTCTGCCAAAATAGATGGTGATTTGTTTTCTTAGAGTAGGCCCATAACTTGATGAAGTTTCTGGAATAGGAAACAAAATCAACTCCATGTGCCAGTGTCTACAATTTCCAAGCATCATGTATATGTCTGAACAAAATGCATTTAGATATAATTACTTAAAAATCCAGTGAAATAGTTTTGTTTAATTCTCCCTTTATAGCTAACCAATTCTCTTACTACGTGATCAAAGTAGATAAAGAAGTTTAAGTGCACAGTGCTTAGAACTTGGTTTCTGATTGCTGTCCATTTACCTGTGAATTAAAGATGCCATAGTCATTCCACTTAAGAAACCAAGATTTCTTAAATGAGAGCCTCTAGGTTACATTTTTATGACCACACATTACCATCATGGTACAGTGAATAAAATATAACTTTTAAATTATCCAGGGCAATGCAGAATGACTTGTCCTTGAATCACTAATCAAGTTCCCTATAAATTAACTGTAGAGATTAATATGATTTTAAAAAATCAACAGTGATACCTCTGGATGCAACAGAAGATCAAAGGCCAGTTTTGCCAGTCTGTTATTTTATTGCACAGATTTCACTTAAAGAACAAAATGCACCATCAGAGTTTGGAGAGTTTGGGGTCTCAGATACTGATACATTTGCAGTGTTTACACCCGTAAAGCCAAATTCAACAGTACAATTTAGGTTAAATGACATCACCTCAAGATAGCTAACAGAATGAACACAGAGAGAAAAAGGGAAAAAAGCTTTACCAATGAGTTAAGTTGAAGCATATGAAAGTGTGGGATTAAACACTGTATCATACACACCTGGAAATTGAAAATGTGTGGAATGTCAGTTTAAGTTATACTTGTACTGTTATTTATTGCATAATTAATATTACTTGGTTCATTTCCTTCATATTGATGAATTCAGAATTTCAGGAAAACCATGGTTATAAAAATGATCAATCTTGGAAAAGTATGTACAGATAAATGTAAAATCACAAACTAAAAAATATCCCCACCTCTTGCCCTCAACTTAGAAAAGGGAAACTTTCCCACAGAAAGGAAGTTTCACGATTTCCCTCCCTCCTCCATCCCATGTCTCTAGTTCTAATTTTTTCTATCTCTTATAAGTAAATGACCTTGGAACTGAAGAGGAGGGAGGAAACAGAGAGGCATTTTTATGAGGCTCCCATTGTCATGTGTAACAGTTTGAAAAGTGTCTTTTATTTCTTTTCCCCACCCCCATCCAACTCAGCAATGTTTGCAAGGCATTTGAAATTTAGAGAGAAACAAAAAATATATGTATTTTTAATAAACAACAAAAAAAATGCCCAAGAAAATGCTAATAGTGGGCAATACCATGAGAAAATTGTATGAGTATTATCTGAGCTAGGGATTTCTTTTAAGGAAACCAAAAGAGGGAGGAAGGGGGTGGGGTTTAAGACTACAAAATACCAGACAGGATGCTTTTCTAACCTTTGGCTTTAGAGCCTGGCAGGAGGAGGGGACTTCCCCACACTGTGGCAAGCAAACCTAGGGCCCCAGGCCCAGCATCTATCTACAGCACCTCTGTGGGCAGTTGGGCAGCCCTCTTATACATGGGCACTCTTAGCATGAGTTGGGGAGCTGGAACCAGAAGAATAGTAGAAACGATTTTCACCAAAGGACTGGGCATCTCCAGCGCAGCAGACGATGACACAGCCACCCACGAGGCACAGCACAGCACCGATCCAGCCTGCGTACAGGGAGTAGCCAAAGCTCACGATGGTGGTCTCGCGATGGGCACACACAGGGAACCAGATGGTGGCGACAATGGCGCAAAGAGCTGGAGAAACATGGAGAGACTGTGACTGGGCGCACCCACCACACGCCAAGGAGGCAGGCATGCCCACTCACTTTACACACACACACACACCTGTGACTGCCACCAGCTCAAAAATCTCACACACAAAGCTCTGCTCCCTCTATAGCCATTTATAGAATAGACTGAAGAAAAGCTTGTGTCAAATTGCTGGGTCCTCATTTTATTCAACAGGTGGCAAAAACAAAAGAACTCCAATGTAAAAACCTAAGTTCAAACAAAGTATTTATTTGTATTTTACTTGTCTATCATGATCGTATACCTACAGTTATAATTCTATCATTATACTTACCTAGTTGTATAATAATTATCTTGTCTATTTTTTATTCCAGGCTCCGAGTTACTTGAAAGTGGGGGCCTATCTTACCTATGCCTGCAAACTCAATGTTTAGCTCCCTACCAGGCACATAATATATGCTTCATGTATATCAGCTGAATGACCAAATGACCTGAGCTGTCAGAGATGAAAAACAAGATGGTTTTTCACTCTGTTTTTCCCTCAGTTTTCCACCCAATTTTCCTCTCTATTTTTTCAATTTGGTCAATTCACATTACAAAGACCTGGAAATGCTATGTAATTTGTCTTGCTGTGGTGGATATTGCCAGATAAAAGTTTAGTATCAGATAAGTGTCAGAGTTTCTGTTATGCTATTTATTCATAATCACAAAGTCCCAACACACAAATGAACTGTCTTTAGAATAAAAGAATTCACCCATTCTGTGGTGATGGTATTTGTTGTGATGGGTCAATATGGAAGAATTTTATTTATGGTCTTGGCACCAGTCTACCTTCACATTTAGATTTATAGAATAAGATAAAAAAATAGCTTCTATATCATTTAATTCTTCACCTCTTTAAAAGCAAAGTTACAAAACAAGGGCAGGAAGGAGCCTAAACAAATTTTTAAACCTCTAGACCAGCACTGCCAAATGTGGTAACCACAGCTACACAGGACCATTGAACATTTATCATGAGGCCAGTTAGATGAAACATTGAATTTTGAATTTTAATTAACCTTAATTTTCTTGACCACATGTGACTACTGTACTGAACTACACAGCTCTAGACAAAGTAACTCCATAACTTCTTTAAATTTGAGTTTAGATTGCTCATTAAAGTTGGCAGATGCAAAAATAATACTAATAAGGTTTTCAATTGTTCACCACAAAAGCTGTCAACAGATTCAAGATTGCATTGCCAGTCTGATGTTTCCCATCTGGGGTACCCTTGTCACTCTCAACTCAGCAAGATTTTTTTCTGATTTCTACTCACGCTGAATGATTTTCTAACTTATTCTAAATGCCCACAGATAAGAAAAATAATTTTTCTTTAATATAAACACTCAAATCTAATTAGTTCTAAACTGAAAAAAAAAAAAGATTTGTCTTACCTATTATGAAAGACCTTTTAAATTATCTCTTTGGATTTTGTATAGTTTGGAACATAGGTTTTTGTTGACCACAGCCTACCCCCTCAAGCTGGGTATAAATTACACATAAATAGATGTGATTGCACTCCTAAAAAAAGTATAGATTCCAAGTGGAAGTCAGAAGGAAGACTGTGTATTTGGGAGGGTTTGAATTGCCCAGATTGGGTCTTTCACAGCCTAAATTCACTCCATCAATTGGTGCACAGATTAAGAAGCTAAAATCTGTCCATATGCTAATAGATTTCTTTTTCTTAAAGAATAAGCACAATCATGCCAGCTTCAGGAATACTTTCATATGAGATGTGTTTTTTTTGAGAACAGAGTGTTCAAGAAGACTGGTATTTATCCGAATCCTCCCTTTCCCACCAGGGTTTTGAAAGCTTCAGATATGTGGGAAGGTCCTTTTCTTTTTCTTTCTTTGACCATGAATTTCAAATCAGGCACTCCTGGAGAACTGCCTAGCTATTATCAAAAACTTTTTCTCTACCAGGACTGGAGACAGAAGTCCTCTGCTACTGTGTCTCAACCAGAGAGAACTGGGGTAGATTCCTCATAGTGACCCACCACCAAGCCACACACCCTGACTCCAAAAGTGGGCTCTGCTCTGGGAAAAACATTAGCCTAGCAAGGTCTTCCAAACATCCAGCCTTGCTTAGAGAAAAAAGGAGGGGAATGAAAAGCTTAGTTCCAAAGCAAAAAAAAAAAAAAAAATGTAATTCCCAAACATTTAGTTCAATTCAACTAATCTTCCCTATAAACAATTTGGTTTCAAAAGAGTTCATAGCTCAAATTAAGTTTTGTATTTTTCGATTGCTTCGTATTTACACTCGTGTACAAGCACAAAAGCATTTCCCACATCTAGTATAAGTTTAACCTTCAGACTTTATATAGATTTTACAGAATAAGACAGGAGACTGCCACTAAATTCATTTAATTTTTTAAGGTTATCTTCACATAGGGAAAGAATCAGGTTCAATATCCCCATCAGTAACCATCAGTCTCAGTTTTGAGTGTTTTAAGAATTTTGTTAGATTTTATTCCAACATAATTTTTTCGAAAAAAGAAACATTAGAAAAATATCTAAACATTTATACAATGAACCTGATAGGGCTGCGTGAGTGGACAGATGGATGATGAATGTGGGGTAGCCTCATTTCATTTCTACCTTCCTCTTCATACACACCAAAACTGACTTCCAAAACATAAAACTTTGTTGTGACTTGAACACACTTAAAAGTCACAAGTTCATCATTTACCTCAGTAAAGATTTCCTTCTTTTATAATTCATGCAAACCAAGGCAAATGAGTACCAACAGGATCTTTACTTTCTAGCTGACAAATGAACTTTGGGTGGAATTCTTGTGGCTCTCAAAGATGAACCACATCAAAATCACTAAAAAATAACAGAAGACCACACAACACCAAAGGAAATGTCAGGCTCACTGCAAACAGTGACCTTCAACTGAACTCAAAATGAAAAATGTTTAGAAACCAAAACAGGAGAATTTACTTAATTTCAGCAATGGCTTGATGGGAGAAAGAGATATGCTCTGACCAGTAAAATTAAAAGTGCAAGTCAAATCATTACTTAACTAAAAAATAAAATAAAATAGTAATAGGACTGGCAACAATGTTTGGCTTTCTTAAAGGCAGAAGGCCTACTGGATTGATTTCTATTTACAGATCCCCCAAAATGAGTTTGGAATGGTTTTCTCTGTTGTTGGGAAAAAAATAAAGAAAATCTATTCCTAAAAAGTCACAGTTACCTATAAGGACAAGAAAATTGAAGAAAGATAGAGGAATTTTTTTCTTTTTATATAACCAGAATTTATTTTTAAATTAAGTCTCTATAAACAAGACAGGATAATTTTAGCATTCAGATTTTTCAGTCTCTCTCCTCTTTCACCTTAAGATGCAATCATTAAGTGCACAAGGCAGGGGAGAATCTGCCATCTGTTGTTGGAAAATAGAAAGTAAAAATTAGGGATAGTTTTAGCCGTAAAGGAGAAAGAGAAGGAAGAGGAGAAGGGGGAGGAGGAAAGCTTCATTTTGCAGACACAGATTCATCTAGACTTGGTCATTTCATAAGTACAATTCCTTGACTTCAAATAATAAAACTGTTCATCTCTTTTGAGAACAAGTTTCAAATACTGTAATACAATGCATTGTTTAATTGATAAGATACACCCTTGTTAAAAGTTAGCAATGATCTTGACATGACCAAGAGACAATATTTGAGAAGGCAATTTTAGAGAAATGAAATGGAAGTGTAGTTTTAATCTCTTTATAGTAGAGTTTAGGTGACACATGGTGAAATACAGAATTAAACAAATGCAATGAAGCTAAACAAAATTGATACAGGTGTATTTGGCTTTGGAGGTAACAACTAAGAGAGTGAAAGAGAAACAGCTAGATAAGAGGGCAAAGAAAGGCAAGATCACCAGACACTGACATTTCTTCCTTCTTCCACTGAACAAATCTTGTTCAGGCTTTGTCACTTTCCACTGAAAAATCTATTAAAAGCATCATTTCTAGCAAAAAGCACAAATTTTCATTAAAATCACTTAAGTTATATATTGGTGATATGTGAGATTGGCTGCCAAAAAATCTGAGGGCTGGAAGAAACAGAAGAGATTTGGGAAGGCGAAGCATGTCAGCCGTGGTCATTGGCGAGGAGGACCCGGGACTCACAGGGCTTCATCCCACGAGTTCTCCTCCTTTGGTGTAGGGAGGTGTGAAGAAAATGTTGTTTTTGCTTTTTTTGTTTTTTTTTTAGTTGGAGTCTCACTCTGTTGCCCAGGCTGGAGTGCAGTGGCATGCTTATGGCCACGGCAGCCTCGATCTGTTGGGCTCGGGCGATCCTTCCACCTCAGCCTTCCAAGTAGCTGGAATGACAGGAGTGTGCCACCATGCCCAGCCAAATAAAATGTTTTTAAAGACCTCCATTTGGCATTTTACAATGAATTGAACACTGTCTTCTGTAATCAATTCTACTATAATCACATGACCTAACTAGTAATAACTTTAGCTTTTCAAAAAGAAGTCAGTTTAGGCAACAAACAATGAGATTTCTAATCAGCTGTTGATAGGAGGTTTATTTGCTGTTTTCTTATCACCTGAAACTAGACATTTTTGATTTTTCTTTCTCTTATTTGTTATTCCCTGAGATCTTAACTTTAAAAAACATAGCTATGATTTTTAATCCATGGAATATTTGAGTAGATTATTTTCCTGGCCTGATTTCAACATTTTCCTTTTATTTCCATGCATCATTATCTTTTCCTCTCATTTCCCTTTTTAAAGTCAGCTTCATGGTTATTTGTTTTTGTTATTGTTTTTTAGTCACAGAATTAGAGACAGGAGGAACTCATAAAGAAGTTAATGTCTTCAATTTTACTGATGAGGTCATTTTAAGCAACAATCATACTAAATCATCTTTTCCATTGCCCATATTAAGTTTCATTTAGATTATGAACTTATTTGTATAAAGCTAAAGAGTTTGGAGAATCTTTAAGCTGTTCTCTTAAAGCCCTGGGATCAGGGCTTGACTTTTATTTCACACCTAGGGATTCCTTTCTCCTATAGGGCCTCTGATTCTGTGTGCATAACATTGGCAGTATGTTCCACATTTGAACACACCATCTGTTTGACTGCAATTTCACTATTAATCTGAAAGTTGCATGTTTAACAACTTTTTCCACTGCAAATATGGTTCCTAGGACCAGATTTTTAAAAAGGAAAAGAAAAGATGAAAGGAATCTACTTAGGAAGTACATCTCCTTTTCTTCCATTCCCTACTCTAGTCCCTAAAAACACCCAAACAAAGTAGCAAGAATTCATATTGGAATAAGCAAAAAACTCCAATTATTGATCCCACATGATGATTTCTCCAAAGTAAACAAAGGAAATATTTCTATTAGGCCAAAATCCAAGGTGGTACTTCCAGAAGAAGATTGTTATCTCTCTCACCAGTTCCATGGGTGGAGATGACCCCACAGAAATTAGACATGATTGGAAGAATACCTAATCTCCCTCTGGGTTAGCTATTTCCTGTAACCAACAATAACAATAACAGCAGCCATTTATCGAGAACTTATTATGTGCCACATACCATGCTAAATAATTTCCATACATCATTTCACTGTTCTTATCAACCTGAGAAATAGGCATTATTCTCACTTTATAGAAAGGATCAGAGACATTAAGTAACTGACCCACACAGCTAGAAAGTAGTAGATCTGAGATTCAGTACAGTTGTGTCTGACTTCAACTGGTAAGATAAGACAACTCTGGGTGTAGGCATCTCCTGCCTTGGTAGGGACTCTTGGAAAGCCACAGACAAATGAATTAGCCCCAGACCCATCCCAGATCTGAGAAGCCTGCTATTCCTTGTGCTACTTGTCTGACTTAAGAAGCCAGCATCCTATCTATCTCTTTCCCCACAGCAGGAACCAAATCCTCATACCACTAAACTCAGACTGTTGAGAAGATGAAGCTGTTGCACAACATATATAATTTTGGTAAGCTTTCAGAAAAATGATTACAAATTTTCAAGGTCAGGAAAAATGGATTTTAATGAACAGTGCTCTCAGTTCCCATGCCAGGATTAACTGTGACACTGTGTCCAGTTCCCAGACCCCCAAATCCTAGGGTGCCTCATCAACTTAGGTCAGCAAACACATCTCAGCTGGTGCCCTATCCAGTGTTCCTCAGGACCCAGCACAGGCCTGGTGCTTCTCCCCAAAAGTGACAGAACCAATTCAGAGTCACACAAAGTGAATTTTCACTGTCTCTTGCTCCTCCAGCTCGCTGTCAAAAAAGGAAAACAAGGCAGGTGTTGGGGCTCTGCGGTGAGAAGACCTCAAGGAGATCAGCAGGGGCGACCATTAGGACAATGAGCTTCATACTTCCAAAGCCAGCTAGTTCCAGTCAAGATGACATTCAACCCAAAGGCAAGTGGTAACTCACCAAGAGGTAAATTTGGACAGGAGCAGAGAGTAGACGATATCAGAAATAAAACACAATGAGGGAATCCTCACCTGAATGGTACATGTCTGGAAAGGTAAAGCCTCCATGGGGTGGGGTCAGATCACTCAATGCCCCATAACCCCTTTTGTGTCACAAAAGACAGGCAGAGACTGAAGGACTCACCCACTACCTGGTCCCATTTCACTTTCCTCATCTGCGATTCTGTTTACCTATACCAACCCACCTTCAAAAGAAAAATAAAACTAACTCAGCTAGGAAGTTTCAAACCACTTATTGCTTTTAATTATTTTTATTTTTTTTAATTACCTTGGTTATTCAACTAAGCAATTCGGTTTTCTTTAGGGCTTTTTTAAAAAACCCAACTTATCTATAATACCCTGCTTTTATCCCTCTATTTTCCACAGAATGCATCTGCTTGTTCTAATGTGTTCTCTTACTTGTGGATACTCTGGGACTCTTACATGGAAGGCCAGGATTTCTCAGGATGAGCACCTAACACCACAGACCCATCCTCTGGTCCTATCATCCCCAGGGCACAAGAGAGCCTTCCCGGGCTTCTGTTGGAATGTGAGAAAAGGGCAAACAGCAAGTGTCTGGAGAGAGAAGGGTTTCACTGGGATTCTGCGGACACAGTTTATTGTAGAGCCTTGGCCTTCCCATTGGAAAGGTAACTGTACACAAAGATCCGACTGTCAAAGGCACTGTAAGAGGGGTGCCTGTAAGTTACACAAAACGCAGGATTCTAATTATGCATTTCAGGTGGCATGGACACACACATTCTTTGTGGATGGAATCAAAATTTCCACAACCAGATCCTTTGATTACAGTAGTCTTTTCACTCCTGTTATGTGGACACACACACACACCCCTCTGTATTCTCTGTACCATCACAAGCCCCTGCAAACCTCTATCCCTGTGCATACTGGAAAATGGAAAATGGCTCCCCACCTCTCATGTCCTCATACCTCACCAGTGTCACAATGGGTGAGGAGCTTCCAAGTGGAGAGTGACCACTACTAAGTGGCATTAAACCAAACAGAGCCTCACCCTTTCCCCTTGCCTCTCAAGCACATGATCTGAAGTGCCAATTTGGGGATGGGAATTTCTTGTCTCAGGAGATGTGACTTTATATCTGACTCATATCCAGACTAGTTTCTCCTCACTCACATATTTACTTTTCAACAAGAGCCACTTAATTAATATCCTCTGTTAAGATTTAGAATGTACTGGCTGGGCTTGGTGGTTCAGCCTGTCAACCCAGCACTTTGGGAGGCCGAGGGGAGTGGATAGCCTAAGCCTGCAGGTTCAAGACCAGCCCAGGCAACTTGGCGAGACCTTGTCTCTACAATACATCAAAAATTAGCTGGGCATGGTAGTGTGCGCCTGTAGTCCGGCTACTTGGAAGGTTGAGGTGGAAGGATCACCGAAGCCCAGCAGGTCAAGGCTGCGGCGGCCATGCATGTGCCACTGCACTCCAGCCTGGATGCCAGAGTGAGACTGCAACTCAGAAAAAACACAAAGCTGCTACAATGAATCAGTGGGAGTATTGGTGACTGCTGGTGTTCTATTTAAATTATTAGTGGCAGGGCTCAGTGGCTCAGCCTGTAATCCCAGCACTTTAGGAGGCTGAGGTGAGTGGACTGCCTGAGCCTGTGGGATCAAGACTAGCCTGGGCAATTTGGTGAGACCTCATCTCTACAATAAATAAAAAATTAGCTGGGCATGTTAACGTGCATCTGTAGTTCTGGCTACTTAGAAGGCTGAGACTGAAGGATAGCCAGAATGCAACAGGTTGACACTGGGGTGGCCATGAGTGTGTCACTGCACACTAGCCTGGGCGACGGAGTGAGACTCTGACTCAGAAAAACAAAACAAAAAAAGATCTAGAATGCACTAAAATAATTAGCATCCAAGAAAAAAGGCCTCTTTGTATAGGGGCAATCAGTAAAAATGAACAAGTACAAGCCATTTCCTTGTCCTGGACTGTGTTTCCTCACCAATCCATGACCTACCACCTACATTTCAAGCCTCAGGGCTCATCACTGGGTTCCACTGCTCTGAAAACTCACTGAAACTCATCCATTCTGGGTTAGGTGCCTTTGTCGGTGTGTGCACAGCCTACATACCTTTTCTAGACGAGCACATATTGAACTCTACTGAGAGGTCCAAATATGCTCAAAGCAGAGACTGCCTCCCCCCGCCCCCGGTGCCTACCCTGGTGCCTGGCCCATGTGCTTACTTAATGAAGACTTACTGAGGAAAGGTTGGATTGTCGCCTAGTGGTCTGCCACCTTCAACTCACATTCTCTTGCCCGCCTCCATTCTCTCTTTATGTATTAACTGGGGCTCTCACTCTTGGCTGCACATAAGGATGACCTGGAGAGTTTTCAAAAATATCTTTGCTCACCCTGATTCCCAGATAATTCCGGTTCAATCCATCTGCTGTAGGACCTGGGTGTAGGACTTGGTGTTCTAAGAGGGATTCCACTGTGAAATCCGAGAGCTGCCACACAGCTGTCTCCTTGTCCTTCTGGTGTTTCCCTGAGGTATTTTCTGCCCTCTTTTCTTTTTACACTTATTTTTATGTTCAGTAACCCCACAGGCACCAACTTAGCCTTCTGTGTAAACTGTCTATGAAATATAAAGGGACACAGATCATGGTATTCTATTCCCCAGTGGAAATTGCCTGGTTTCCTTTCACATTTCTCTTAAAACATGAAGCAGCAACCTCAAGATTTGAGATTCATCAGGTTCACTCAGAGTTTAGGTACCATATAGAAATCTGTCTTACCCAGCAGAATGAGCAAAACACCAGCCAGCTGAGCCCGCCTATACTTGGCCACACCAGGCTCATGGCCCATCCGGATACAAGGAAGAACTGTCAGCAGCAGCAAAATGGCCGGCAAACCCAGAACAGAGGCGGCAATCATTAGGGCTCGGCAAGCCTGCACATAGCCTGGGAACAAGAGAGTGAATAGGATGGGTTAGACCATGGCTCTTCCTGAGCTCTACCTCTTAGGAGTTTAGTATCACAACCCTGCTGCCCTCTTGCCCCATTCCAAACCTAGAATGTGCCAAATGTTATCTAAATCACTAAGCACTTTCCATTTTCAAAGCAATTTAGCAAGGAAAAGGGGGATGAGATCCCTGGTTTAAGATCACTTGGCCAAGCAAATGAAGGGGCCAAGAGTTCATTTACATTCACATCACCTTGTGACAATTAAGGTGAAAACTCAGATCTTCCCAGAAGTCTTCTGTGATGGTCTATATTGGTTCCAGTCTGCTATTGATTGCTCTACCTGTGTGACCTTGGGCAAGTTACTTAACTACTGCATCTTATCTTCCTCATCTCTAGAGTAACAGTAAAAATAATACCTATGTATCTGATAGAATTCTACAGAAGACTAAATTAGTTAACTCATGCAGTACACAAAACAGTGCCTACACTAAATCCTCGAAAAAAGGTTAGCTATTATTATTGGTTTGACTAGTCTGCATCAGTGTGGTACTATTATCTCCAGGTGAAAGAAGTGATTTTGTCTTAACCATAAGCTTTTAATTTGCATTGGCTATGGATGGTGCCTGGCCCCAACCTAAGCTAAACTAAGACTCAGGCTTCTTTTCTTTGCTATCTCCCTATACACTGCTGTCCTCATGGATCCTTGCCCCCAATAGATGGTTGTGCTTCATCTCTTGCCTCACCCACAGTGCCCTGGGCATGCTTCCCCAACATTCTATCATTGCTTAAAAGGCACCTCTGTAACTTGGGACTCCTGAAGGGCATACATCTACCTTGTGCACAAGGACCCAACTGCAACATTGTCTCTCAGCAAGATCTGTTTTGCCAGAATGCAGACTTTACAAGGGCCTCTTCCAAACACTACCCATCTCAGCTTTTCAGAATAAAGAATAATCAGTCAAGTAGCTATTGACTTGAAGACTCCCCCAGAGATGGGCCACAATATACTCCTGTGATTTTTAGGAGAGTCAGGGCCAACACAAAGAAGGCAAGGAACTAGCAACAGGTTCTGAAATTCATAGCACTGGCTGTCCCTTTGCTAAAGTGCCAAGGCCATATACGGATGTCAAATGATGGAGAACTGTTCCTGTTCCCACCCAAGGTGTGAGGGAAGGGGAGAAGCAGGAAGGATTAGGTCCCAAAATTAGGCCCCAATGGTCTAGTATATCCCTAAAATGCACTCCCCTTGTGGGGGATGGCCTTTGCTCTCTGAAAACAAACCACTTGATCCTGAATGCTCAGTAAACTTAACTTCAGGAGAAGGAAGCAAAGAGAAATTTTATGCATCCCTAAAATACCCAGCTTTTATGCATCCCTACAAATGCCTAGCTTTCAATAAGATATGATAGCTACCATTTATGGAGCATTCACTACTTCAAAGGAAGTTTACACTTCTTATCCCATTTGATCCTCAAATAATTGTGAAAGATAGGTGCTGGTTTGATTTTAATTCTTAAAAGAGGACAATGGGTTTCACTGAGGTTGACAGCTCATTCCAAACTACTCACATTGTGAACACTGGATCCCAGAGTCTGGCCCAGGTGACCAACGCAAGCATTAACCAAAACTGGGTCCAGATCTGGGTTCCTGGGCCTCTCTTCCCTCTGAAAGTCCAACATGAAGGAAAGATAGCGTAAAGCAAGTCTGACCAGCACCTGGGCACCTCCTGTGTGCCATACGCCATGCCAGACCCAGAGGATGCAAAGAGAACGGGATGCCACCTGTATCTTCAAGGAATTTAAAACACACTGGGAGAAGCTGACTCACAGCGAACAAAAAGCAAGATACAATATGCAGAGGATAAAAGTCAAGTACTAGGGCAGTGAGGAAGAAAGAGAAGTTGATTCCAACAGCTGGGATTGGGAAATAGGAGGCACTTGGGGAAAGTTTAAGGGGGAGCGGAGTCTCCATTGGCACCTTTAGGGGCGGTTTCTCCCCATCTTAAGGAATCCAGGACAGTTTTTAAATGTGCACAATCCACAAACGCTAAGGGCACAGAAGGCCACCTTGTTGGGGCCAGAGTGGGATAAGCCTTCCCGGCAGGAGGGAAATTGCAGGCTGAAAACCGAGGGGCTGCCAACACCTCGCCATTTGCCCCACTGGCTTGTGGTTTGAATCTGAATGGAAACTGTCGCCTAGAATGTTTTCCCAGGGCAGTAAGTGAAGATGTGGCCCCTGGCCAGCGCCAAGAGGACCGAAAGCTTGTCTTTGTCAATTATTACCTCCCCTCCCCAGTCTCTGACATAGCTGGGGCTGAGGGTGCGCGACCCCCGGCGCCGCTGTCGGTATCTGGGGGCAGGAAGTCTGCCCTCCGAGGGGCGCGTGCTCCTCCCAATTCAGGGAGCTGGAGAGAGGAACCACGTTGGAGAGTTGGACCACGGAGGCGGGGGTTAGACGTGGGGGGCTGGGAGATAAGACAGGCCCCGGGATATAAACCGACCTGGGGTTTGCTAAACTGGGCAGCCCCGAGACGTCCTGGGACGGGAAGCGCTCCCGGTGGGGCGGGCAGAGCTAGAAGGACCTTAATCTGGTCAGGGCGCCTCGCCCATCTCAAGAGGACGGGGCACAGCCTGCATCTGTTCACATCGTCTGGAAGTGTGCCTTTTGCTCTTTACTTCTCACGGAATCTAACGGGAAAGCAAGGCGCCCAGGGAAAGGCCAGGACTGGGCAGCCCAGGAGACGGCGGGAGGGCGGGGGGAGCGGCGGCCGCAGTAATTAACACGAACTGAGCTCCTACTTCGTGTCTCAGTTCACTACATTCTCAGCGCTACTGGTCAGTGCTACTGCTGGCCAAATTACCACTGTTATTCCAAATTCTAGATCAACAAGCCCAAAGCAAACAACAAACAAACCAACCTGAGGCCCAGAGAGCTCAGGGCTGCCTAATTCTTCTACAAGCTCTGGGCTACAAGCCCAGGGTCGCCTGGTTCTTCTAGCACAACGGGGGGCTAGAGGTGTCAAAAGCGTGCCCAAAGGTCTCTGCGCTCCCACAAGTCTCTGTGAACTCCGTCTAGTCCCCTCCGCTCCGGTCTGCCCAGAGGACCAGGGAGGAGCAGCCGCTTGCAGGGTTTGGGGACTTACCCGGCAGGATGAGGATGTCCACCAGCGGTTTGCAGTGGTAGAGCCCCGTGGCCATGACGCAGTCGGCCCACAGCCCCTTGGAGCCCAGCTCGTCCAGCTTGCGGCACGTGGGGATGGTGTAGCCGCAGGTCACCACCCAGTCGTTGGTGGACGTGGTCACGATGATGCCGATCCAGCCCACGAAGCTCGTGACGAAGCCCACCACCTGCAGGCACGTGGCCACCATGGTGGCCGCCAGGACGTCTCCGCGCCTCACCCCTCACGGCTGTGCCCGGCCACGGGCTGGACAGCGCCTGCCCAGCTCCTCTCCCGCGTTCGCGAGCCGCGGGTGGGTGACGGCCCGAGGCGGGACACTCCGGGCGCAGCGGGCCGCCGGAGGCCGTGCGCTCGGCTGCGACGGCGCGGCGGCTCGAGGCTGGGTCGGCCACGGGCGCACGGCGGGGACGGCGAAGCTGCTGGGCAGCGCGCCCCCGCCCCCTCTTTAAACTCCGGAGCCCGGCTGCTGGGGGCCAATCGGCTGCAGCCCAGAGCGGGCCAATCGCGGGTCGGGTCGGGAGCGAGCTCGGAAGGGAGCGGAGCGGCGGGCGGCGGTCGGCGCTGGAGAGTGCAACCCTCTGCTCCTGCGTTTTTGACACCCAGACCTGCCTTGGGGAGGACAGTTCAGCAGCCCTGAATTTGAGCCCAGGCCCAAGGAGCGCAGAGAGGGCTCGCGTTGGGCGCGTGTTCTGCGTCGCCGCCGGGAGCTATTTCCCTTCCTGCTGCCCCTCTCGCCCCCGTCTCCGGGTCTCCGTTTCGCTCCGTTTTCGCCCTGCACTTCTCCCCTTTCGCTGCTTCTTCCGCTGCGTCTGCTCTCGCTCGCCAGGGCGCCGGGTACAGTTGCCCCAGGGTCCAGGACTGGAACTGGCTTCTGACTGCCCTCAGGGACAGATGCAAGGCATTTGGTATCCCACAGTGACTAGCAGAAAGAAGACGATGCCTTCCCGCGGTTGAAAATCATCAGTGGCACCGCGGCCATAGTAATGACAACAGGAGGAACCCACATGCGTCGAGCTGTGTTGTACATTATGCAGATGCATCTTGCCTATATCAGCTCTTTTAATTATCATAACAACCTTGATTTTGTGGGAGCGGTTGTCAATTGCACACGACAAGCATGGAGCCATGGCATGGGCATGAGAGGTTCAGTTGCCCAAGTTCACACGGCTAAGAAGGGGTACTGTCCATGGACCCATCTCATCCCGCCACCGGCCATTTCTGGGAGCCCATCCTGATGACCAGTTTCCGAATATTCATGGGGGGCTCATGCATCCCATTACTGACACGTTGTCAGCTAGGCTGACTGTTGTGGCTCCCTGTTTAGCCCAGAGTGAGTGTAAGCTGTTGTCATCACCACGGACATCTCTTCGTTCATTATCTGCACCTTCTTATCAGGCAGGGAAGTTCTCCTCCAGCTGCATTTGCATCAGCAGTTTTCACTCTTTGGAACATTTGTCTTGTCTCATCCCTCTGTCCATTCACTTGGCCCACCACCTCCTCATCAGCCATGAGCTCTAAAGGTGTGAACAAAAGCTTCCTGCTCAGCATTCTAACTATGCTAAGCTGTGGATCACAAATTATAGGTACTGAGCTTTCCTAAAGCCCTTCCTAATGCTGGCTGTCAGTGCAAGTCTTCATGTCTTCTAGGAAGGACTGTCCTTGAGGAGACAATTGCATTTCCCTGGAGACCCCAAGGAAATCAGGTGGTCAAGCAGAAATGGCTCTGTGATAGATGGCAGAGTGCCAAGTGCAAGGAAGCACAGTGATGAAGGACACAGGCCAGGTTGCCCAGCTTCAAATCCTGGCTTCACAACTTTCTAGTGATGGGACCAAGTTACTTCATCTTTCTTGGCCTACTTTCTCATATGTAAAATGTGATGATTAAAAGTCATTATACATACAGAGCTTCAAGTAATGTCTGGTACAAAAGAAGTGCTCGAGAAATCCGGTGACTATGATTATAATATGATGCTTCAGAACTCTTGCTTTTGTGTTCTTAAGTGTCTGCCCCGTAGTCATATGAGTAAATGGTGGAAACTGTTTCATAGGAATATGGTCACCTTTTGAATGAGTCATTGTGTTTGGGGGGAGGGGCATTTCATCACCAGGGTCTGTTCCCTGGATGCTTTCAGATATTTCCTTGAACATGAAAAATAAATTTTGTGCTAAGTACAAGGTGAACTACCAGACCCAGGCAGCACCAGCACATTGCAAGAGCGGTTATGAAATCTGTCCTCTGTGATTCCATTAGCATTTCATCTCCTATCCATGAAAATTGAACCCCGGTTCAGCAATACCAGATCGCCTAAGAGTCACACACAGGTGTTTGTAATGCCAGGGTTTGGAACTCGGGCACTAAAGGGTAAAAACAGTTGCCAAGTTGCTAAGATTGCTTCTTGGAGTGGAACCTCTTGGGCTCACATTCCATCTGCCCTTAACTGGACTGTCTCTTCACTCACGTGACTCTGTCCCTTAACTGACATGACTATCAGGTTCTTCATCTACAAAGGGAGAATAGTAACTGTCCCCTTAGGATACTGTGAGGTCAAAGTGAGATAATTTATGCAAAGCGCTCAGTACTGATGGACATTGGTTAATGTTAGTACTCTTCCTAGGCAAGATCGATCAGTTGGAAACGTGAGTTGCCTTTGATAGAGGTAAAAGCTAAATAATTAGATGATTCTCACCATCTAATTGGAGCAATTCTAAGATCTGTGTCTAATCCACCTCAGCATAGAAGCTCAAAAGGCCACGTGAGAGAGGTCAGCACAGGTGATACCCGTTTGAATGAATTAACCTTAAGTAAAGAGAGGATATGTCCATTCAAAAGGAAGTCAGGCAGCCATGAAAACAAAGAGAACTGGGAATCAAAAGGTAGACAGAAGTGATGGGAATCTTTTACTTTTAAAGAATAATCTCACCTAAATAATTTTACATATGTCCTGGGTTTTCATGGGTTTGGTTTCCTAAAGTTATTCAGTTTTTATTATATTATATATGAAGAAAGCTTTCACAGAGAAATGCACATTCCAGTTGGGTCTAATTGTCACTCATTTGGAATATGTGAAGTGGAGATTAATCACGTTTTTCCACAAGGCAAAGCCCCGTTTGCACAGACAATGTTTTTACCAGCCATGCAATGACAAAAGACAACCTCTAGTTATGTTTGTTTACATGACCGATCCACAGGGGATGGTCTTGTAGCCCAAAGACTCTGAGGATGCAGTGCCATTGGCAGGCTCTGTAGAGTGGGCAGTCTCTCAAGTTATGTTACCCCAGGCTTTTGCTAAAGCCATCCACATGCCTTGGCTGTGACTTTCCTCCCTAACCCCTCTTTGTGATTAGGATTTGACTTCTCACGTCGCATCACTTAATAAATTGGTCTTCCAGGACTGCCACCATCTACTCACAGGTGCTCTTTAGTTGTAAGAGTCAGGCCATGCAGACAAAGTCCATCTCAGTTAAATTTCTCTCAGAAAACTCTGCCGTGCCATCTCTTCGCGCTTCGACGGTATATAACAGAAGTAGCAAGGTGTAGCTGAGACCTGATTTCCAATCTTCCAACCTTAAGTTCAATATTCTTTCCGTTACAAAAAAATGTAAGAAGCGTCATATGACTTGAGCATAATTTCCTTATTTTATCCTTATTGCAAATGTAGGACCAGTCGAGGAGGGGGAATTTGAAGGGTAGGACCAGTCAAGGCCCTGAAACCCAGATGTGTACTGAACAAGGAAAAAATCTGATTAATTGCCCTTCTGCCATTTACACCTAAATATCGCCAAACTCGAGATTAGAGAGCAAATACGAAGAGCAAAGCTTGAGCCAAAGGAATGGGCTCTCATCGCCCACTCGTGGTTGTCTCTCATCATTGCATGGCTGGTAAAAACATTTTCGGTGAAAGAGGGCTGGCTGTGCCTTGTGGAGAAACATGATTAATGTCAACTTCACACATTCCAAGTGGGTGATAATTAGACCCAACTGGGATGTGCGTTTCTCCGTGGAAGCTTTGTTCACGCATAATATAGTAATAACTGAATATCTTTGGGAAACGAAACATATGAAAACACAGACATACATGAAATTATTTAGGTGAGATCATTCATTTAAAAATTAAGTATTTTACCAGGAACTCTTTTAAGGATAAATTCCTCTGGTGAATTTTAAATGCTTGATTCCACGTACGCAAATTTTTAGAAATACTGTAGCACAAATTCATAGTGTAAACAAGTGTATCAAGCAAGGCATAGGTTTAAACAATTATATGCCAAGTAAGTTTTGGGGTTTTGTCTATTCTGTTCATCACTGAAACCAGAATGTGGCACAGTGCTCAGCACACACGAAGGCATTCCATGTATACTTGTTAAATGAAGCTGACTGAAAGGTTGAGAGAGAGAGAGAGAGAGAGAGAGAGAGATTGAATTTGCAAAGCTCCAAGTTTCACCAGGATGAGAACCTGAAGACACTGTGCAAATTAAACCAAGAGGGGAGGGTTAGAGCAGTCCGGGGAGTGGGCAAGAGAGAGTTGAGCTCTCTGTGGTCTCAGATATCCACCTACTATCCCTAGTAGAGCAAAGCCTTCTCCAATAGAAGGAACATGCACTGCTCCGGTCTCAAGCATAAAAAGTCTCTACCTAGATATGCTGACCTTCATCTATATGTCTCCATCAGAGAACAGCACCTTCACAATTTATTTCTATCTGGAACGTCAAATTCAGCTACCAGGGAGAAAAATTCCTTTCAGGGCCCCTCTTGGCCTTCACAGTGCAATTATAAGATCATTCCCTCGGAAGCAATTTCATTCCAAATTTTTCATCCTTAAGCTTGTAGACAAAGCAAAAATAACGAAAAGCTTGTACCTGAAGTTTTAGGTGACTTCTCTCTTCCATCTTCAAATAGGCAATTCTATTTATCCACTTCTCTACCAGAAGTCTTAGACTAAATGATAGGATGTCTAATTCAAACTGTGAGATTATACTTCCCAAAGAACAGTACAAGTATTTATTTTTAGCCCAAACTAGAGATCACATTTTTAAAAAATATAATAGTAATTAATAGAGTATGTAAGTAATCTAGCTAGAAAGCCACACCATTAAATTCTTTATCTTAGAAATTTAGAGCAAGCATTTCCATTTAGTTATCTAGAACATGGATATATGGAGGGATTTGTTGAATTTTAAGTCTTTCACTGAAAATGTATGAATTATAGGCCAGGCACAGTGGCTCAAACCTGTAATCCCAGCACTTTAGGGGGCCAAGGCAAGAGGATTGCCTGAGCCTGTGGGTTTGAGACCAGCCTGGGCAACACGGTGAGACTTTGTCTCTACAATAAATCAAAAACTTAGCCAGGTGTGGTAGTGCGTGCCTGTAGTTCTGGCTACTTGG